AGATGTCTATAAAACATGCAGCTCTTTGTGTTTGTGAAGGATTGTGTGTCTGTGTGTCATTACCTGATTTAGATCTGCTTGTTTTGTCCTGTGTTCTTGAACTGCCTTATCTCTGGACACTGTTTTCACAAACTCTAACTCTTTTTCTTTCGCATCTCCTTCCTGGATTTGCTGCTTCCTTCAGCCTCACCTCAAGGTCAGTATTCACTTTTAATAAAGGTGTTTATAAGACTATTGTCTATTCAGCTAAAATTGGAGATCTCACAGAAGATTGCACATCAAATTACATGATCTACAAAATAAAAGATCAGAGATTTGGTTAAGTCTGTGTAGGAGGATGGGTTAGATAGGGTGCACGTTTAGAATAAACTTGTACTTGAAGAAAATAATTTACGTCAAACCACTGTAAATCCATGTTGTAGTGAACTGGGAAGAAGGGGGAAGACTTACCAATGAAGCCTTTCAAGGAAAAAAACCCTACAGAAACAGGAAGCTGAAGCAAGACAGTTTATATACTATTGGTTTTATCTGTTACTTCAAGAAGAAAAAAGATTGAACATTAGCCACATTCTCTGATACATGCTGTTGAGTGCAAAACTAGTTCCTTTAAAATACTAGTCATCCATACTTTTAACTGTTGGATTTTTATCATTGCATCTGTGTTTGAAACCTTGTAGTGGTGTTGCAGAACTAGTTTTGGTGCAGTTTGAGCGTATTGTGCTGTCAGAAAGAACCAAGGGCTGAGGGTTAAAGATAAGTAAATTAGCAAGAGGATAAATTTGTTGAAGGCACAAAGTGATAAACTACTAAAAAAACCTTACCAAGAGACAACATGTTTTGAAGTCGTTCAGTCATGGCTCAATTTTTTATTTTTCTATTTTAAAAGCGGTTGCTAAACATAGATTTTGGGATTTCAATAGAGTAGCTAGGAGTAAACGTCTATGGCCTACATACTACAAGTCAGAGTACGTGGTCTAATGACCCCCAGTTGCCTTTAAAAGGCTCTGAAACCATTTTGGATTCTAGTCTTTGCTGATAAAGTCTGTTTGGTAGAAAGCATCCGTGAGTCCTGACGAAGGAATGGTTATAATTGCTTCAGGCAGTGTCTTTGCCCAGAAAGCCACTACTTAATGACTAAAGTTCTGAGTTATTGACCAACATCCGGCTTTTCTATTCCTGATTAACACCGTGAAAAATGTGGTGGTGAGTGGAATCCCATGACGCTGCGATGCTGCTGACGCCTTTAAATTGTGTCAGCGTTCTGACCTTGGTTTGGCACAGACATTGCACTTGTGGCCTTGGCTGCGTATTTTCCTTCCTCCCACAAACTGGAAAAAGATTGGAAGTTAATCATGTTGTTGTCCATCAATACCTTCCGTATTCAGTGCGTCGTACTGGCATACTTGTAATTGTTGGGGAGAAGAGGGCTGTCCTTGAATGACCCTCTTTTTTCAGATCCAAAGAACAGAACTGCCAGGAAGCTTTGCTGCCCTGTGAGCATTCTCCTCTGAAATACACACAGTGTCTTTTCTTGCATGAACAGGACTTCTGTTGGGTAGTGTGTATTTGCCAGTTGCCACCGTGAGTGGAGTTTGATGTGCTTTGTCTGGCCGACAAAGTCCTAAATGTTATAGAATCCATCTGTCAGAGATATTTCTGCTTCAATCCATATGGCTGTAGGCTTTTATCAATACCTGCACCTATGCTGGAATTTGTGATGAACAAGAGGGGGAACTATTTTTAGGGTGTGTTTTGGGTGTGTTTTTTTCTGAGACTTGGCATGATTTCTCTTTCCCCAAACAATGTAACCACAACTTTTATTTCTCTCATTTAGAGCATATTGTAAAATTTGGCTAGAGAAGATATGACTGTGGTTTGAGTTGGCCAACTGTTACGATCTTTGAAGAGTTTTCTGATAAGACATTAAAGAGATTGTCCGTTCTGTCCTCATAGTTTGTTAGTGGTTTTATTGTGGGGGTTTTTTAATGTTTTTTCATTTTTTAAAATTGATTGCCATGATGGCTAGTTGCTGAGGTTTTCATATATTTGTTAAAATAAATCAAGAGTGTAAGGGAATAGGTGGAATGACTGCTCTTGGAACTATAAAATCCCTGCTGGCCAGAAACACAACGAAAAGATTCTCCTGAGGACAAGCAGGAAAATTACAGGGGTTGCAGTACCACTCGTTTTCTTTCCTGTGCATTTCAGTGTTCGCCTAATTACCATTAACTGCAACATATGAAGAAACAGCTGTTCTGTGAAGTTACAGTCTACATTGGAAGTTACTATGGGAGCCATAACTTTATTTTTCTCTTAATGGTGTAAAGCAGTTACTTTTTTCAGACATCAAAGCAAATGTGCCTTCCTGGAAAAGAGCTGAATATGTGAAAAAATGCATTAGATATGTCTGTCTTCTAGAAACAGGAAGAAATACTCAGAATTATATCTGTTCTCATCAAGAACAGCTTTGCTTACTGTAATCAGTGCAAATCCTCTGAATTTTCCGATCTATTAAGCTTTCATCATCTCTCTCCTGTTGATAAACTCGGTGAACCAGAACACAACAGTGTAAACCGCATCACTGTTGCTGTTACGACATGTACTTACTTACTGCTCATAAGTCTAAGGGCCTAGAGTGGATGTCGTACTGATTCATAGTAAATAAAATAGACTTGAAAGGCATGGGGATTAAAGCAGTTTTCCATAAGGAGTTTTTGCTAAGCATCTCTGTTGATGACAGCGTTACATAAAGAATTATCCAATGCTGAGTTTGAGACTAACAAGCCAAATAACACTATTCTGGTGTCATTACCTGCAGCAGTGAAAAAAATAGAAAAATACCGCAAAGTCGTATGGTACAGTTCTTTTAAGTGGTTCTTATGTATACATGTCACAAAAGTTGAGATGGAAAAAGATAACAAGACTGACAAAATCAGGTGCTATAGCGAGCAACTGCATACTTTTCAAGGAAAGAATGAGCTATATTGATAAAGCAAAAGCAAGATTTCTAGCTTCAAATTGGGCAACAAACAGCTTAACTGCTTCAATTTATTTTTTTTTTTTCATTTAGCTTTAATTTATCACCATTATTTGTATCTTGTCCGCTGAATAACGTTAAACATGCTATTTATCATCAATTTATCTTTGTAGCATAGCACTGGAATAGAAAAATAGCTGGAACTGTAGGATAGGAGGCCTCCCGCAGGAGGTTTATCTTTTAGTGTCCTGCTTTCTACTGTCAGATTTTCTAATAGTTTACATCACATGGTTAATTGTACTGTCTGTCATCTTTTGAAGCAAGTAATGCAGATCTTAAGAGACATTTTCTGGATCTTTTTGCTGTGTCAAAGAGAATTTGATGCAATAGGAAGTAATAAAAAAATACTGTGAACCTTATTTCTGCACCGCAGAGTGGCTTGGTGATTAGATGAGTACAGACTGGTGGCATAAATCCAGATAAAAGTCTCTGCTATGAGCGTCCATGTAAAATTATGTCAGTGTAGCAACTCAAGTGTAGCCTTATAAAATCAAAGTAAAAACAAAATACTAAATCTGAGGGGATTATTTCGGTCCTTTTTCCAGAGTCCTAAATTTATGTTAAACTGAACGCATCTAACCACCGAAGAAATATTTAAAACATATCATCCTTCTATAAGAAGATGACAGATAATATTGCATAGAAAATTAAGAAAATACAGGAAACTCAGGATACTATTCAATAATTATTAAAAAAAAGAAAAGAAAAAGCAGAGTACTTCGTTACAGGCATATAGTCTATGGTTCCTGTGGGTTTTTCATTGTGATGGAAATATCTTTATACACTGCGCCATATACTGTATCTCCAGGAAGCTGTGTATCTGAGGGCTGAGAAAGTGCCTGGGCTGTCAGGAGAAATTTCACTGGAAGTGTGGCTGGCTCTTTAGTTTCATACCTTCAGGAGACTCTGGTCTTCATTCTGCCACCATGCTGGTCATTAACCACGTGAGGAAATGATAAAAATGTCAAGCATGTCAAGTCAGCAATGGTTAGTTTTAGCTCAGCAGAGCCAGATACATTGTGTTCAAAGAAGTTTCCATTTGAATTTCCTTGGTGTCTGAAAAATAACAACCTGTAATCGTTGTTTTCTATTTAATATATTTTTCCTTTAATTCTACTTAGAGCAAAAATGGCTTTATGGAATTCTTTACATTAAAAAGTACTCTGCTTCTAAGAGTTGTCTATGCCTTGTGAGTGAGAAGTAAGGCATCTGCAAGATGATAGCAGGGAGAGGAAGAAATGAAGGCGTCAGACTTGTTGGCTGTGAAGGTTGGGTGGTGATGAGTAGGGCACAAAATAGAACTGCAGTTTTCCTTAAAACAGGTCAGTGACATAGTCTTTCAAATTTCCTTTAGGTATAGTGATTATCACAGCTTTCTTCCTCTGTTTGAAGTGGAATCTGTAGCTTTTCTGTCAAAGGTCCTCTTTTCTTGCCTCATTTCACTGCACCTTAAAGCAAAATTATTCACAGCTGTACATCATCTCAGAATTCTCACTTTTCTGCAGTCTCACATGATCTGATTTCTTTTCTATTACCTGCTGAAATTAATTTAATTATATGAGACACTGACGAGTTGTTTTTCTTTCTGTGTTATTGCTGTTTTCAGTACATGTATTCACAAGACATGCAGCTTTCCTGTGGGAATTTGAACTGAGGTAGCATTAGAAAAACGTGTGACTGGATATGGCACTAGGCGGGGTTGTTTGTACGTCAACAGTATGCTGTGAAATTTGAAGAGCTCTGAGTCGAATGCTCTGAGAGATTAGAGGAATCCCTCACAACTTGCTTTTTTCGGATATAACAAAAAAGATGTCTTTTTACCATACTATTTGAAACATCAAAATACAACATTATTTAGAATACATTTTAAAATGTGTCTTCATGTTAATATATTCCAAAGTTAACAAATTATCTAGCACATCATCATCAGAAGATTAACTGAAATTATCATTCAAACTTCATGCAACATTAAACTTTTTGACTAACCCATATGTGTCACATCACATTTAGTCAAAGGAATAAAATCTGAAGGTTATTCTTCTTCTTTAATGGCTAACTTCTGTGTAAAAATTTATCCCCCCAAATGGCTAGATTTTTATTTCTATTAAAACTCTAAAAGCCAGGTAAGTATATGGACAGACAGTGAATTTATGTGTCTG